CTCGAGAAGCGTAAAGGTCATTGATCTTGTCAGGTGTTGGCAGGTGGTTGCCTATTGATGAAACACCTGTTGGAAGCCCCTCGCCCTTGTGCACCTGGTGCCATATGCTGTCTTGTTGAGAGTCTGATTTTTCGAGCAATTGTCCGAGATTCCATCGGTGAATTGATTTATCAAAAGCTGACACATTCGAATTTGGAGAAGAAATATGAGTGGAAAAGTGGTACATATAACAGGTGTTGCGTGCTCAGCTTAACATTCCACATTTATTGTAGTATGCATGCTACAGCAATAACACCCATGCCGTTCACAAACCCTAATAAAAAGCGATGAACCTGTGCAACTAGAACTTATTTCGGAACGATGTATTACATGCACATTGAGAAAAATCCAAATTTTAATATCGCGCTAATTACGTGAGCCGACGTCTGAACTAAAGTGTTTCAGCATGTTGGTTTTAGAAACAACTGTCCAATTTAAAGACAAGACAGGTTTCTGTTACGGTTTTCTTCAACTGAATTTCACTTATCCATGTCAGAAAAGATGGCCTAAGCCTTAACTTCACCCAATTGGTAATTGGGCTTGCTCATCAATTACCACCTTGTACTGTTTGGTGTGTCGTTTCACAGGTATCTGTTGACAATGAAAACTCGTTCTGGTCAGCCCACAGATCAGTGGTTCTTTCTGCTACGACGATGAATTTTACTGTAAAGTTCATAACACACCGAAGTGAGTTCTCTGATAAATTTCGAGCGTCAATCATACAAGACCGTGAGTCAAGCAATCCTTTAATCATCAATAACTAGGCTACCTTCAAATATCTGGCGAGTGTTGTACATTTCTGGGGGGTTCGGGGAGCTATATCTGAAGGGGCTAACAGGTGTGTCGCCGGGGCCTTCGAGGGATTATATTCAAGGTCACATCAGAGTCACGTACATGTAAGGTCATACCAACTGAGAAGTCGAAGTACGGCGTGATCGGATAGCGTCGAGATATATCTTGTGTCCTGCCATTTTATTTGTAAATTGTAGGCTTAGGCCTATCTCGAATATTTTAAATCTGTTTTCGTTAAACCCCGCACTTTATCATACTTTTGTAAAGATGAACTTTGATCAAAGTAACAATTTTGTACTGTGAACATAACTTGGCTTATACTCTGAACAAAGTCCGTAATGCCGCTAAAGACCTAAACTACAAGTCCAATAAATGTGAAACCGGGAGATCCAAAGTAGAGCCTCAGCTACTGTCCTGGAATTTTTTAATGAAAGGTAGGGTTGTCATTTCTCTGTTTTTGTTTGCTTTTTAAGTTGTTTATTTATTCTGTCTTTTTTGTGGGTGTGTTTTTCCGAGCATTGCTTCTGTCGTGTTTGGTCGAGTAGGAAGGTTCAGTTAAGTCAAGCTTATTTATTTATTTATTTTTTTGGTAGCACAGTAAACGAAATATCGCACTCCGTTTCTGCTAAAATATCCTTCCTGCGGGTCCTGTTATAAACTATTACTCATCAATAGTGAGGATTATAGGATGCACACTGCCTGGGTACAGCCAACCCACTAAAAGTGTTAAAAGACTGCACCTTCAGCGGGGAAGAAGCGAGAAATATGGAAATGAATTCCACGTGTTTCCAATCAACATAATCAAAGCGACCAGGGGGGGCGAATCAACCAGTCAAAATTCGCAGCTCGGTTGTCCCTTACAAATACTACCTAATTCCTCAGTGGTCGATCATGGAATCAGAGGTCATTCCTATTTTCTACTTGGTGGTTCAATTTACTCGATAATTGTCAACTCCTTTGTGGCTTAAGTGGGGCCTGAGTGGATTTTGACGAGACGTGTGGAGATCGCAGCGGGGACAGGGTAGTCCACGGGTGGGATTAGTGCCTTCTCGGCCACCGTTTGGCGCCTATACGGAACCTTGAGGAGGTCGAGAAATTGACTGTGATCTTCCGGCTGCGATAATACAATTAACCGTCTACTTTGTGACAATTACTGTTACACGAGTGGGAATAACAATTTCTTAATTGGATTCAGCAGGGGTGGGAAATCCCTTTTTCTTCAGGTTAATATGCAAGGTTGTTAAAGTGGTCCCAATTTCACGGCGCTTACGGGTACCAGAAAATTCTTAGTATGTGGGCGATCCTATTTCACGGCCAAAAAAAAATTCTTGCTACGGTTATTGAGGAATATTTGTCAATGCGCATGCGTGTTTTGCAATCGTCTACTGAAAAAAAAAAAGTTCGCCGTCTGCTGCGCGGAATAATGTAGTAAGCCATGTGGTTACTCTATGGAAAGTTCCACAACAGGTAACTGGTGTCTTCACAGTACATGTTTAAAAAGCCTTCAAGGTGAATAACTGTTAATTTCTAAGGATGCACAAGATGAATCTTTGTGGCTTCCGTTACAAAGAGGGATTTATATTTCGGGTTAACATTCTGGCCTAAACTTGTTTTCATTAGGATTTTGCAGGTCGTGGATTATGTGTGGCCTTCTGTCTTGAAAACAGCGACCAATCGCCATTTGTCTCCTTTGTAAAGGTCAAATCGGCCTTCAAGCGCAGAGTTTCTGCGCAAGCCTTTTAAGCGTAGACTCCTCGCTTACGGAGCCCATGAAATAGACTCTATGCTAACGGTGCCTCGCGAGCGCAGAATTCCACAGTAAGCAGTGCTGTGAAATTGGGCACTGATCCATTATCTCGTATTTTCTTTCAACTGACTGAATTTCAAATTAGCTGGATCAATTTTGTTTAGACAGTAACAGTTCTGAATAATCTTTATGCATCCTGAGGGTTAAGGTTAATAATGCATGATAAAGAAGGCGTACACTGACCTTCAGTTGGTTTCCTTTCTATTTGTTTTGTTGTGTTGTGTTGTTTTGTTTTGTTTTGAGAGTGTTTGTGTGTAAAGATTTGTTCTTGAGATATGTTGAGACCTTGTTTGGGGATCGACCCTTTTATCGTGTGGGATTTTACGGGTGTCAGTGGTCCCTATAGGCCTATCCATGAATTTGTGAGGGCGGAGTTGAACGTGAAAGACTGGAAAAATACAATTATTCGATTTGTGTTACTTTTAAAAAGCGCTAAAATGTCAAAACACTTTCAGAAACATTGCATGCCATGCATTGGTACTATTTGAGACGATGATCACGATTAATCGCGTGCTTAGGTGCACATTAGCCTTTTATACCGACAATTTGTATTTTGAGATTAAAATCTTGGATCAATATAAACATGAAGCTATACCATAGTTCCATGATATCAAAGAAATCACAGCAGTTTGGTAGTGCTTAAATCAAGGTTCCTCGCACAAAGAGACCACCCAGGACGGGTGGGGGCGGAGAGAGCAGTTCTTCACGTAGACTAAACTGCGTCAGCCGCTGAGCTCAGACGGCCGTACGTCAACAGTCATTTGGGCGAAACAGTCCCGTACGATTTCCAGGCGCACAGCATCGCTGCGTCCCCGTTGAAACTGAACCGCGGACGCCTTGACGCCAGTGTGTGACTCACTGGGATGTTGAAGGCTCTCTTCCTCGATGATCTTGAGATTATTGTACTTGAAAGGGTTCATTAGCCATCTGTGCCACTTAAGTGATTACCTAAATTTTTGTTTAAACGCAGTCACGAGTCTACACTGTTTTCGGTCGATTGCAGAAATAGAAAGGTGATTCGCCAAATGTAGGCCTACTGTTTCAAAATTCGTTTGTTGCCTTTCAGCTCAACGAATGAAGTATATAAAAACATGTTTTGCACTTCAGAGAAAGGTTATCATACAAGAAAAGGTGACATTGTGCTGTGCTGTGCTGGGCTTGGCTGGGCTCGAGGCTGGGTTGGCTTGGGCTGGGCTGGTGGGCTTTGCTGTGTTGGTATAAGTATTCCTCCTTCTTCATGCGCGATAAAATTTACTTACAAAGTATCCCAAGTTGATCATCAAGCTATCACAATTAGCCTTTTAGAGGTATGGTGGACACAATAGGAGGGTGCAATTTAGTTTGGGTAAAATCTTTTGTGTTTGCTCCAAATTTACCACTTCAAACAGCGCCCTCCTATTGTGTCCGCCATACTTCTGAAAGGCTAATGAAGCCATGCTGTCATAGTAATCTGCACGCTCAAGCCTGTACCAGCCAAGTTTGGCGCGGATGATTGAACAAGAGCAGCTTCAATCCGGTTCAGAAGTGTGACGTCATTTCAGTTTAAACCACGCCCACTTCACATTGAGTTACATGCCTGTTTTCCAATACTCAACTTCGTCTCCGTCTCAGGCTTCGAAGCTAATTCCCTGACTGTGGGCCTGAAGCGTTTAAATTAAATCGAGGTACTGTAATTCACTTTTGGCTCTTTTGCATCTTTTTGATGTTTTGACTTAATATTGCGCTTACAACTTCAAAGTCAGGTAGTAAAAAACAGTTGAAGCCTGAGACAGAGCCCAAGTCGAGTATTGAAAATGGAACCAGGGAACCGGAAGTCAACGCTCAAGCGTGACGTCATTTTGAACCATGGAGGAAGAGTAGTGCAAACGAATGGAATACGCGCGAGTCCCAGGAGAAAGGGGGTTCGAATAAATGGGAGCGTTAGCGCCCGTGCGCGCGTGCTAGTCGTGTTGACTCCCGAGTGAAGGAAAATGGTGCGTGCTCTCGTTGACCCGCACGTCGAACTCCGTGTGCTCAGGAGTATACTTGTGTTAACACGAGTTGCACACTTGAAGATAGACACCACTTCATTGTTACCTTGTGCCCATCGAACCTCAACCGATAATTATATCTCTCCTTTCCTGAAGGCAACAGCTTTTATCGAGTTTCCACACGAAATGTAACTGCAAAGTCAAATACTGAGCCACTCATATCTAACAAACTGTAGTATAAAAGGAATCATTTTAACGCGAGCACGAATTCAAACTGCTTACAAATAATCTGTCCTCTTCGAAGGTGACATATGACACAGTGGGCACAAACGATAGCTGCAAAAAGTATGTATAGTGAAGCATTTATACCAGGATGATAAAAGCACACTTACCTCCCTGGTTCTGAGATGACTGCTCAGTGCGCCCGCTGATGTCACAAACACAATTGCTAAGACAATGCTGACTCTCTTGACTGCCATGGTCGTTTTTGACAGTAGTAAACACGAGGAACACAATCTAGGAAGTCACAGGGAGAAACATGTGTCAATGCATTCAGATTAATTGTCTCCCTTACCCCAGCAGCTAAACCCGGGTCCCTTTTTGCAAGGACTGTCCACGGATCACTGACGAATGCGTGTACGGACACACGTGCACACTTCATGCATCACATTAACTGCGCGCGACATGCCGCATCATAAAAAGGGCATTCACTGCAAAAGTCAGGGTCATACTTGGCAAGTTGCGTCAGTTAATTTACTTTCACTCGTAAGACTCATTTTGTGTCCATTAAGACAGCGCACAATGATAAGATGTTACGGGATGTGAATTGACGTGCCGTGCCGAGCGTATGCGGTAGAGAATGAGCAGTAAGGGACCGGATTTATGGCTTCGGGGAGCTGGGAGCAGTCGGTATTCGATCATACGCTAATTTGAAGACAGAATGATGGCAACGGTAGCCTCTTGAAAAATGACTTGACTTGCTGGGATGGAAGTTTACGTTGAAGTCTTCCTTGGTTGGAGTAATGGGATAAGTGTTAGCAGTTGGGCACACGTACCGGTTAGATGGAAAAGTGCAATCTCCACTCAAATACATATACATTTCCATAAACGTCTTCACTAAATTGTTTGAAAATTTGCGGCCACTCACAGTGGTTAGGCTAGTGTACCAGCGTTGTATCTAGCGCAAGTCTCTATACCCCCTTCTCTCTACGGCAGCTAAACGTGTACTTGTCCATTGTGAAATTTTGAGCGGTTCCCGCCCGTGTCATGTAGCATCTCTTTGACTACGGTACCAATAAATTCCTTCAACCACGACCGACGCCAACCTAAAACTCGGGAGGATTTTTGACACGCCACCGTTAAAACCAAAGCTCTCAGCTTATCGGGATGATAAATGACGCAGAGGATATCTCGATTGGGTGTTTGGTCGGATTCGGGTCAGTGTTGAGCCACTTGGCAAGTGACCCGCGCACTTTGATTATATGAAAAGGCCATGGCTCAAGCAATAAACTACTGCCCGTATAGGGCGCGGGGAGCCCACTTAGAGTGTCAATGATGCGACACCCTTACCTTCAGATTAATTCAAAATGAAATGGCAAGGGCAAGCTGGGCGAGCTGCTACCGGTATGTTCTAACATGAAAACGCGACACAGTTTGTGTTGTCATACAAAGCAAGCAGGACTTGTCAAAAAAGTGAGATAAAACGCGTCCCGGAAGTTTTTCTGCACGTGAACTAGAAGGTCTACATCCAAAAAATTAAGGAGCTTTTCGTTACGAGAACAGTTTGGAATGTGTCGCAGGAACTGCAATTTGCAGAAGTAATTGACAATATAAACAGAACTAGTGGGAATTATTTTCGATGCAGCGGGAGGTATACATGTCACTATTCACTGAGGTGGAAGATATCGGTTGAATGGAAGTAAGCCATTTTTAATTTTGAAAATTCAAAAATATTTTCAACATATTATTGAACCAACGTGTATCATTGTATGGAAACACAAGCAAAAATGGTTCGTTGTAATGGTCCACTGCCGGTGTAACATGAATGCAAGTGCGGGGGGGGGACAGAAGGGAGTTGTGCGACAAGCGCCCCCAACGTTCAAACTCTTCTAATTCAGTATTGTACGGCGATGGCGTGCACATCCTTTCTTTCTTACAAGTCTTCGAAACCACGAACAGCTAGCGATGTTTTAATTGATAATTTCAAATGTGATTCCAAGTGTTTAAATCCGTAGTATAATATATTACTTATATGGGACTTCCATTTGTATCAGAAAAGGTAATTTTCGAGTTGAAAACTGTCTTTAGCATAAATATTTTGTTTCATTTTGTTTACTTGCTATTCCTTTTTGACCGTGCAGTGCCAACTTTGTTGCCAGGGTTTCTGTGATGTTGGTCGGTTGTTCGTGTTGCATCTAGCTCCACGCGTTGTAGTGTAAGTTTTGATCGAACGTAAAGTAAAGAACTTTATGACTATACGCGTACCAAACTTAATGGACAAAATTTGAATGAGACGCATCACTTTTTATAATGGTGCAAGTCATGTTGAAGGGAAATATTTCCTTTAAACGACATTTTGAAGGTGATGCCTTTAACATGCATTTCAGGAAAAAAACTCAATGCTGAAGGTGGGAGTTTTACAAAATAAATCGTTGTTATGCGTGGATTTTAGGGGTATTATTTTGAGGAGATCACGGCACAGCATGTGCATTAAAGGCGTGTTTGCGTGCAGGATTCACAGCAGATCGAGAAGCCAAAATGGGAATCCTTTTCCAGAATCTCCATGAAACAAAGGGCTGGTGAACACATTGGAAATAGAACGAGTGCTTCAATAAGCCTATAGAAACGCTGGAGATTTTAGCTTTAAATGAAACAGTTCCTTATGAACACCCCCTTTTAATGAATGGAATAGGCGCACAGGTCGTTGTACGCACACAACGCGTAAACCCCTCCCCCAGTGCTATGTATACAAGGATACCATAATTATTTTCATATCAAGAATGCGGTCGATGCCTCGATAACTGCAATCCGAGGGTAATTACTTCTACAACTGCCAGGTTCGCAATAACCCGCGACCCTGCCTTTATTCACCAACTTGAGGCATCGAAATCCAGGGTTTCCGCTCTGGCCTAGCACCAAGTTCACCGGTGATGTGTACTTGGGAAAAGGAAGGGGGACTCCCATCACAAGCTCGCTGTCGTGACTTGGCACACACCTACGGATGTATTGCTGGACGTGCAAGCATGCATTGCAATTGACAGGACACGAAGCAACGGTTGGTCATGCGACAGGCCTGTGCAGTCTAACCAAATTACAAACCTTGCATAAATTACATCAATACTTTTTGCGAATTTTAGGCTCTGGAGCTGAAAATTAGAGACCTACAATTTCGCCGTGAAAATTTGTGGCGCACTGAAGTCGATTCGCAATTTCTGTATGTTTGTCTCTCAGCTGTTACGTTTGCACCCCATAACATTGTCAGTGGGTTTCACATCCGTACTGATATTTAACAGTGGTGTCTCCATGTTTCATTTTATTTTCTAAAGAAGGAATGAGGCACGAAAGAAAGGTCTATTGTGGCAGTGGAATGGTATGTCAAGAGTATGGAATTCCATATCTGCCGTCGTGTCGTGCGTCG